GGTTCCCTCAATGGAGATAAGAATGGAGGTAACGCTACGCACTCGACTTGCAGTTTCGGTATAGTTCGTCTGTAGCTTCTTTTCCATCGAGATATGAGTTCCAAACGAGAATTATCAATGGAAAAACGTTCCAGTATTCTGACCTTCGTAGAAAAAAAATCGATTTTAGTTACTGCTGCAGATACTTGAATAACTTTCATACAATGCGAATGCATATTTCGCTGGTGTCCGGATACTTATGGACGGTAGTGTAAATACTTTAATAAAAATCAATCACACGGAAAACGATAACAAATACGTGATATAACTCTCACGAGGTTCGATTGCCTACTGTCTCGAGGACACGCGTGGAAAATAAAATAAATTTAATATGATAGGTAATACGTGTTGTGCGATCGCGATAATACATCTTGCAATAACTGACTTTTTTCTTTGAATCACTCATCACGCATAATGTGTAGTGTGTACAGAGTGAGGAACTTTCGTAAACGAATTGATGTGGAAAAACGGTTAACATTTTTAACATTTCGATACTATGGACTGGACAATCATGGTGCGTGTGTGATTGTGTGTTTGTAAAGGCATTGTCGTTGCATTCATATTTATAATTGTTGTAATTTTTGCATAGGTAGAACTAATTTACTAAAAATTTTATTTACATTACGATCGCGTCAAATTGACGCACATCCGTAGAGATAGGTATACCACATAGCAAATTTCAATATTTCAAAGCTTTTGAAGAAAATAGACTTCAATATATATTTACCTCGATCAATGGATAAAAGTCAGCACAAGAGATGAAATAAAAATGCGAACGGTTTTTGTAATTTTCCTACAAAAGTTCGAAATGCGTCAAAATGACGCATCCCGTAAACCTAGTGTTAATAATTCAAAAACTAAGCTTTAACCAGATTTTTAGTAAAGGAAAAAGTTATAAAAATGCGAACGGTTTTTGTAATTTTCCTACAAAAGTTCGAAATGCGTCAAAATGACGCATCCCGTAAACCTAGTGTTAATAATTCAAAAACTAAGCTTTAACCAGATTTTTAGTAAAGGAAAAAGTTATTCAGAATCACCCCAGCTATCACCCCCTAAAATTATGCCCACCAGTAGCCGAACACCCTGTATATAGTTCCTGTCCATCCCTTCCTTACATCCTGCGTCTAAGGCAAGGGCCTGCTAGAACGCCTTACTGATGAGTCTAGTAGCAGGTCCCAGACGAAACGTGTTCTCCCTCTCCTTTACTTTTCCTAGCTCCCTACCATAGTTAGTTGAACCGCCAAAGTTACATATCTTAAAATTCGAAATTTCAAAAGTTCTATATTTCCAAACTTCCAAATTCTCTAATTCTTAATTCCCTTAATTACAACTCATTCAATTTTTCAAATTCTCAGCTTTCTAGAATTTCAAATTTCCATATCCCAAAGACCTTGATTTCCGAATTCTCAAATTTCTAAATCTCCAAATCTCCAAAGTTCCAAATTAAAGAATTTCCAGATTTAAAAATTGTTAATACTCAACCCATAATGTGGTAAGATTATCAATCTACTGATATTAATCAATTAAGTATTTGTTAAATATCTTTAGCACATAAGCGACTAATAATATAGTCCTGACTCTAAATAATTATCCTACTTTAAAGTTAAACATTGTCGCATTCTAATCGCCATACGAGCACAAGTGTTACCGTGATGCTACTTTTGGTTGCTTCACAACTATAATCTTTTCCAATGGATGTATTCACGTAGTCGTCGCAAAACATTACAATAAACGTCAGCATGAATAAATTGCTTAATCTTCTTGACATTTGCTTGAGCTGAGCTAGTGCGTAGTTTTCCAGATTTCTCGCTGTCTTCCAGTTACATTCGACCAATTCGAAATTATGAAACCAGTCACCCATTCAGTTTCGCTCAAGGCCTTATTATCATAAAGTTACTGAAGCATTCTAAATTTTCACGTGACATATTTTTGAAATTTGATTCAAAACTTTGCGATTGCAAATTATTCTTTGAAAGGTCTACTTTTAAATCGCAGCACTACATAACTGCATTTCTATTAAATACATAGCTCTTAGCACACATCATAATATTTATTCCTTGATGACATTTGGTATACTCGTGTATAAGAGAAGAGTATAGGGAAGTGACCCTCGAAGCTACTAAACGTTATCGGACACCGCCGTAAAAAAACAAACGGAGTCCGGTTTCTTTTTGATTACACCACGTACGTATTAATTCCATCTTAGAGCTTACAGTCTTAACAAAAATGTTTGTAAAAACTTAACATGTACAATAATATTCATTAATTTTACAAACTGATAATAATGTACAAAAATTGTGGTGTATATGGATAAGATACGCATGCCACTTTAATTTGTTGCTGTAATTTATAATTATATCAATGCTATAAAATATAGTTAATACTAGCGTAATTAATGTGTAAAGAAACTATTGAAATACAGATAACATGAAAATATGAGTTGAATATGTTTTTTTTTCGACCATTTTATTAACGAAAATGGATATTTATCGATTTGTTATTTATGTGAAATAGGAGCATGATTTAAT